CCCAATGTCTGACTCCTAGCAATAAATTTGATTCAATCTAGTACCTTCATGTTGTGCTCAGAACATGAATGATAACTTGCAGATCTGGGTGGAGGTTGGAAACCCTTGGTGGTCCCTTAACATGTACATCCTCTGCCCCAAGGCCATCACAGCAGGGCAGTAGGGACTGCTGATCCCCTTCCTCTCCCACAAATTAATACCTCTGGAGCATCTCCAAAGGTGGCCATTCAAATGGTGTCTTCAGGAATTATTGTTCCAACTTATTATTCCCATTCTGCTCTAAATCGGTGTTTTGTGAAAATGGCAGATTGCTGTTTTTTTCATAAAATGAACTATCCTGAGCCTACACCAGTGCAGTTATCCAGTAGATGTGTTGAAATATATTCTAACAATGTCTTCTTAAGTTATCTAGAGGTATCAAAATGTTTTTTAGCAAAAATAAAGCTCTCTGAAAGAAACTGTAGCCTCAAGGGTCTCCCTTAGGGAAAGAAATGCATCTTTATTTTTCTAAATAACTGAATAATGATATCTTTTGATGCAGAACTTGCCTTTTTAAAATTAATGCTATTTTCATACAGGAAAATATGACTGCATTTGTATTTTGTAGTTTGGAAGTTACAACTAGAGAATGAGAGATTTACAAATAACCTCATTTGTTTACTGTACTGTTCCCAAAGTTTTTCTTTGCATAATTAACAATTACATGCAGCTACAAATCATGTTGTTTACCTCTGCAGTCTAATGCAGGATACATTGCCTCACCACCCCACAGAGAAGCTCAAATGTTCAAAATAGCAGTGCCAGAAAACTACATATGTGTAGAATAAATACCCAAATACAACATTAAGACAAGGAACTGTACCCTGACTGTGAACCAGATGTTAAAAACCAATTAGTTTAACTTAAATGACTAGTGGTTCAGCGACTAACAAGATTTACATTAGAATATATTACTTGCTTTGAAGGAGTTTGTGAAAGTATAAGGTCTGCCTGAGTGTGAGTATGTATTAGCTAAGAAGATTATTTTTTCTTCGTTTTCCCTTTTCATATTCTCTGTTTTGTGTGAGCCCATGTGGGTGACTGGAGACATACATAAGCCCTATTTCCAGTATTTCTGAATCTTCAGGTGCCAGCAAGGGTCTCTTCAGAAGATATACAGCTGCAATAAAGCATAGCTGGACTGGGGCTCACAGCTGCCTCCGTGCATGTTCTCTGCTTTGTGTCTGCTTAGCTCTGAGTGGGAACAGAGTGGAAGGAAAGAGGAGAGCAAGGCTGTTTGTTCCCACCTGTGGAGAGGTGCCATGCTTTTCCTAAGGCTGTTCCTCCTTACTTTCATGCATTGCTGCATATTTCAGGCTGCAGAAAAAGAGCAAGCATCAAGCTTAACAAATTCTTTGCGTTTTAATTGTTCATTTCCATTATCTGGCCCAGACTTCCACTCATTCACATCTCTGCTTGACTGGTTCCAAGAGGTTTGCATTCACCTCCAGAAAGCAAAAGAGGCGACATCTAATTCACATGGTGGAAATTATTTAGTAAACAGAATGGACTAAGCTGATGTGGAATACAGCCAAAATACTATAGAAGATGCCATTTTTATTCAAGAGAAACCAATAGATGTTTGCAAGATAAAAAAGTTAAGGACAAAAGTTTTACACCCATAAGACACCCACTCCACTTGCATGCATGTTCCTTATTACTGGCATTTTTTTGTTCATATATCAAAACACTGAGGGTTGACTTAATAGAAACAGAGTTACTAAATTATACACTTACTTGTTAGTTAAATATTTTATTACTTCATAAACGTTTTCTTCAAGTGAAAAATGCCCATCCACTCCTATTCAAACATGCGATCTCTCTTAGGGGAAAATTTATTCAGAGGCTCTGTCTCATAGTAATGGTTTTCTAAGTGACAGTGACTGGCTGGGCATTTATGTGCTCTCGTTCTGAGCTACACTAAGATATTTTGTAGTTAATTTCCCTGCTCGGGGAATATTTGAGATATGGGGGTAGTTTGAAATGCTTGTTTGGATGAGATGAAGAATGATCTCAGAAGTTACCAGAAAGAAGGGGCTTATTGAAATGGGAGGTAAGAGAGGACGTGTCCAGTATGGTGACGAAGGAATTACACATTAGCTCATATAAATAATAATAGCAGGTGTGGGTAATTGCACTTTAGCATACCATGTTTGAAAGCAGTTAAGTTGTAGTTTCTTAGCAACTGCTGCTGACAGCCACGTTTTAAGTGGCCAAGGCTTTCAAATTAGACAACACCCTCAGTCTGCTATACAGCAGCATTAAATAGAGGGAAACACTAAAGCACAAGTGTTCCTACTCTGTAAACAAAACACAACAGAGGGCCAGAGCTGCAGAAGAGGTGATGGAATAGAAAAAGCAGAAATTACATCTACCTTTCTGGATAAGCCTTTTCAGGAACAACTGCTAAGGAAGAGTATGTATGGAGAAAGGCCATGACATACTAAATTGAATGGGTATGCCTTAGGGAATGTTGACAGGGAGATAATTTGTAAGTAGGTAACTTTGTTATTATGTTGGCACATTTTGGTCTTTCTTCTTATATATTTGTCATATAAAATCTACCTGTCTGTATATAAAGGTGCACATAAAGGATTTTATGTTAATGAGTACATCTGTGTTTAGTGTGAGATGTCAATGTTATAATCAATGTTCATGACTTTGAAACATGCTATCAACTTAATGTTGTATAAGAATATTTCCTGGAAGAAATCTGTGATAAAGCCAACCAAGAAGAGTTGGAGTGTTAAGGAGCCTAAAGGGTTCATCCTTTTTGCTAATTGATGCAAATTTAAATTTGGCTGACTCATTATTTTCAATTCCTCATGGATGCTCCACAGGAAGATTTTTCTGATTGTTAATACTATCCCCAATTAGCTAGGATCTATCCTAGCAGTCAGTAACATGCTCTTAATTCCATAGAGCCATCAAGAAGTTAACTATAATTTTTTTCCTCTTTTGAAATCAGAATATTTTCTGGTAATACCCAGGCTTGGGTAGTTCATTCTGGGTAAAAGTTCTCCAACCCAGGGTGGAAAAGCTAATGTAGTAATTAAGGCATATCATGGATTAACAAGTTTCAAATTCTGGAACATTGTTCTAACTTTTAGCTTATGATTTTGATAAGTAGGAATGTCAACCTGTCTCTTACACAAATGGTATAATATGTTGTGCCCTTGTTCTGGCTCCATGGAATTCTTTTCACTCTTGTAAGGTAAAACTTATGTATGCAATAGACGAGTGGAATTCTACAGGTTTTAAAACACTTTAGTTATTTTCCCATTATCTTCCAAGTGCAAAGCACATTTCTCTAGCCTGTCTTTCTTTAACAGATATATAAGAAGATGTTTCTGGAAAGGACCTGTTCTAACTTGACCTTTCACTGTGTCCTTCATGAAGACAGTGTAGTGTTTAGAGTGAGATGAGACTATACAAAATATATGCAGTCCCAAAGACATCAATGGTAATCTGGTTTATTTTGCTCAGGTCACCAACTGTTTAGCTCTTATCCTATGTAGCCTCATACAACCTCAAGTATGACACAGATACCAGAATAACTACACTTAAAAGTCGCATTGCTATTATGTGATCAAAAGCACATCAGTATTCCCAGGGGCTTCCTATGATTGCTCCACATATTTAGAAACAGTTCATGAGTTTGGAGAGAAGAACTTATTTATCCATAACTCTTTCCTATTATGTGGGGAGTCTCCAAATTTTACTTTGTTGGGAAAAGGCCTTTAGCCTTTTAATAACATCTCATTGAAGTATCTATCCTCCACTTTTACTATAATTTAGTAAAATGAATCTGATCTTTTTTCTCACATTTCACTGTTTTATTCCTGGCTTGCTTGTTAACTCTCCTATCTTCATGTGGCATACAAACCTCTTTCAGTGTTTCACTGTCTTGTTTTTTAGATTTATATTCCACTGGGTGGAGAAATGTCCAAGGCTTTCACTGTGGCATGGTACACAGATGTTACACCACAGGATATACTTATCGGCTTGGATTTAGGACAGAAAACACTAACACTGCCCAAACCTGATTAATAATTTGTACTCAGTACCTTCAGTTCTGGTGAATATGCTCCTCTTTCTTTCTGCAGGTGTTCATATAATTTTCCAACAGAATTACTGAATTACAAATATGAGTGGACTGTGATATACTGAACCCAGATTTTCAAAAATGTCGTGGATTCAAAGCACTTTGGAACTGATCAACATAATTTTGGATATCCAGCTTACGGATTGCCGTCTGAAATCTGAAGATGGTTGCACACACCATTTTTCTTACAGAAAGCCAGACTTAGTTCCAAACAAAGCTGCCACCCTTGTCTGTGTTCCTTTTTTTACCTAGCTGAACTAGGAAAAGTAGGCTGGTATTATTAATAATGAATTGTTACAGATACTGCTATTTCCACACCCCCCCCCCCCCCGCCCACTGGGGAATAGGAATTTATTTCTTTCAACATTTTTATTAAAAATTATTGATACCATCTTTCTTTACTCTGTAGCTATTTCTCAGTTATTTTTTGTATGATTCAAGCTTATTGTTCTGAGTGATATTCAGGAATCACTTCCATGATTGCATGTCCTGTTCACTTAGGCCATATAAGTTTTTAGAGCTGCCTTCATTGGCTGATGGCAGGGCACCTATCCTGTAAATGTACATGGTTTTTTTCAGTTGAGAAGAGATAATGCTGTCTCTGCAGAGCTTCTATCTATTACTCCCAGTTCAATCACTGACACTTCATTTGTCTTTTATTGTCTTTAGCCTGTGACTAAAATGCAGCAGTGACTCACTATTATATAAAACAGGTCCATATTTTTCTTTTTAACTTTATGCTTATTTTCAGAGTATGGGCGTGCCAGCTCAAATGTGCACGTGGCATCATTGGGAAAGAATTTGGAGGAAGAATAAAAGTATTCATTCCTTTCACCAGAAATTCCACCTATTTAAAGATTTTAAAGGAGGCACATGGGAAATGCCTAAAAAAGTAGAAACCCAGGGGAAGCAGAAAAAGAGCAGGTTGGAATGGACCATCTGTGAAAACTTTCTGACTATCACATGTAAGGCTTGAATTGCTGGCATAGAGAATGAAAGCATCATTATCTCCAGATGATGCAGATGTTGAGTCTGCCTCAAAATATTGCAAACTTGTTCAAACTTTGCAGCAGTAATTTTCTAAGTTGTATGAATGGCATAATCTGAGCTGGATTCAATAGGCTGACACCACCTGACCTACCAAGCAAAACAGGGGTCCTTTCTTTTGTGCCGGTTTACACACAGGATTTTCTGTCTTGTTATTTTGTACATTGCAGGAAAGGTAACTTTGGTCAGACAAATTTGACAATTCCAAGAGAATTTCTGAAATTATTTGACCAAAAAATTAGCTGGATAATTTTACAACTAGACTTAAGAGACCTATTGCTCTACGAAAAGTAATGATAAAAACCCACAATATGTAATTAGGGATATTTTTTCCTTAGTTTTCGTTCCTCTGATTTTTTTAAAAGTTAATTTCATTTTCCAGCAGGTTCTGATGAAAATATCCTCTTAAAAAACAAACCAAACAAACAAGCTTTCAATTTTATTTTTTTCTCTGAGTGCATGCATTTGAGAAAATGAAGCAACAATTTTTTTCATTAGTATTAATGCTAAAGAATAGTTATCTTTTTTAAAAAAACTTATTTTAGCACTATTCTCTTGTAGCAATAAATGGTTTTCAGCTATAAAATCTTTTCCTGAGTTGAAAGAGTGGACTGTGACAGATATGAACAGGAAGTGGTACTGGCTAGAGTTTAAAGAGATCCTCTAAAATGAACTTTATTATTTTGAAAGTAATTTTAAAATCATCTTGCCCTGTTCTTTTCCCCTGTCTCCTCATGGGACTTTTGTTTATTAGGGGTTTCTGTAAGTGTAGATCACAGCTTCTGAGTAAAAATTTGGAATGTGTGTGTATATAACAACATAATTAGTGAATACAGTGAGCCATTGAAATTGGAATGAAAAATTCCCCGCCAGATTTTATAACAGCTGCTGAAGTCATGTGGATAAGCCTGCTCCCAGTCTGGACATCATGGGAAAGAGATCAAAGGATTGTTCAGAGCTAATCATGCCTAGAGTACGGTAAAAGAAACAATGGCAAAATTATGTCTATTTTTTTAAGGTTTTTGAAATTACTGTTGTTCATAATTATTTTACAGACAACTTAAACCTTGTTTCAAAACTTTCAGGCTCAATTTGAAAGTATTCACCCACATTTTCCATAGGAACAAACATGTTGCTATGGAAATGGACCAGAGCAAAGACAAAATATAGATGCACAAAGATTCCCCAGAGAAATGTAATTTGAGGCATTAGTACACTGCTTAAACAGTATAAACAGTGTCCTGGTATGCCTTGTTTTCTTCATCAAAAGTACAATAAAATATTCCTAATCCTAAATGATCTGTTGTTTTCAGACAACTTTTAAACCTTTTAACTTTTAAAATATTAACCATATTTCTAACAATTTGTTCACTTTTTAATAAAATACAATAATTGATATGGCTTAGGTGTTCTTAAAAGAAAAGGGTAAATCAGCAATAAATTGGGTAAAACTTCACAGAAAAAGTAGTGGTGAAGACTGCAGATGCAAAGGGATTTTGCTTGCTGTGAGTTTAGCATTCCTAACAAATGTGTAAAAATGGTTTCCTTTTTCTTCAGTGGTGTAAAATCTGCTGAGCCCATGTGGAACTTCTGAGGGAAAAGATGAGTGCTTCTGCTCTGAAACCCATGCATCTCCCACCTGGCATAAGCAAAAATCTTTGTTAAGTTTTTGGATCAAAGGACCTTTTCACAGTAATTCCCCAAATGGAGTTTTTCTGCCGAGGTCAGTACTGCATTTATAAAAGTGCAATAGCTTCTGTAATTTTTTCTTATAAGCATTATTTCCATGTCTCATTTTGAGCAAATAGTTTCTGGAATTCAGTATACGTGGCTTTTTACAGCACTGCATTGCCGTGTAGTAATACCACAAGAGACCACTGAGAGGGGATCTCTACAAGTATCCAAAGGAGGCTGCCAAGAGGACGGAGCCAGGCTGTTCTCAGTGGCACCCAGCAGTTGGACAGGAGGTCCTGGGCAGAAACTGCTGCACAGGAAATTCCACCTGAACATGAGGAAGAACTTCTTTACTGTGCAGGTGACCAAGCGCTGGATCAGATTAACCAGAGAAGTTGTGGAGTCTCCCTCACTGGAGATATTCAAGATCTGTCTGGACTCAGTGCTGTGCCCTGTGCTCTAGGAAGGCCCTGCTTGAGCAGGGTGGTTGGACCAGATGACCAACTGTGGTCTCTTCCAACCTCATCCATTCTGTGACTCTGTGAACACAAAGAAGAAAATATTCCAACTATAAATTACATAGATCAGCCTCATGGATACCCTGTTCTTAATATTACATCTGGAAACTATTAAAGAAAATGGATTTCTCTTCAGGGATGTTTTATTGACAATAATTTGGACAGATTTTAAAATGTTTCCCTACAGCTGCTAGCACCAGCCAAGTTTTTGTGTGAAAATAACTGGGTTTTTAAAATATAGATGTATATCTGTGCTCAGGATTAATCTTTTTAGAGAACAAAAATACTTGGAAACCCTTACAAATAAGAGCTCAATCAAATGGGAAGTAGGCACCAGATTGCCTCCTTCAGAATGCTTCTATATATGGATGACTACCTCTTCTTTAATGAGTTTAAGTTCCTTGAAAACTTCATGCTTGAATGTGAGTTCTCTGTTTCTGTTGTGTTTTCATTTCTAAAAAATATTTTTGGGCACATTGATTTATTATTTTTTTCCCAAAGCTGGTCACTAATGTTTGGTTAAGAAGTACTGTCACCTCCTCATTCAATTATGGAAGGAGATTGTTAAAGCAATGTCCTTAGAAGTTCAGAAATATTGTTTGTACCTCTTCTTTGCCTAAACCCTAGCTGGGCTCTTAGGGGCTTAATTTGAATAATTCTCTCACTAGTAATGTCAAATTTAAAAGGAATTTATATATGTCCATGGAGGTTCTTTAGAGGGAAAGCCTAATTTCCAAGATACACAAACGTTCCCAGTGCTGTTTGAACCAGGCTAATTATGTGTGGGACAGAAATGGTTTGGATCTTGAAAATGAAGGAGGAATTATTTGAAGTTTTGGTGAAGCATCTGTAACTAAGGTGAAACTAAGAGCTTAAATAGGAAGGCAAAATGCTAATGCCCTGTGAAAAAGAATTAATTTGAAAGTTTTGCTTTTTGTTCAATAGGCATATATATGCCACCAACAGACAGGAAAAACATGGATCAAAAAGACGCATAGCAAAATGTACCCTCTGGGAACTAGTAAGAGTCACGGCTATATTAAAATCCTATCAAGCAAAGAAAGTGTGCTCCACACCACACAGACAACAAATCAGAGGCTGGTGGCAAGGCAGAAGCAATGCATTCTTCAGGCACAGGCAGTGCATTAAAATGATTACACTTGGACAAGCTGAGCTACTGCATTCAGAACAAATGCACTTCCAGTGTTAGCAAGCAAGACACAAACCCAGATGATTGTTTCTAAATAAGCTGTGGTACCACTGTATATTCTGGCACATGCCAATTTTTCTGGTAGTGTTGAGCATGGCATGAAAATGAGTTATATGGGTATCGACAACATAGAACGAGATAACTGGAATTCCAGGAATCAGCAACAGGCAGGTAAGAGGCAATGCTGTTCAACTGGTTGAAAAGTAGGACATGAGAACTGTAGGGATGGCTGCCCTTCTGCTCTTGCAAATTTATTTGCTGCTTCCTCCAAAAAGTTTCAGCAGAATACATAATTTGGTACATATGAAACATAAAGCAAGTTTCCCAGAAATCCAGATATGAATAGTCTCTTTACATATTCTCAAGAGGGAGAAAATTTTTAATATTTTAGTTTAAAATAATGCATTAAGATTCCACAAATGAAAGTTCTGGTGTTACTTGGAGTATGTGAAAACTGAGCACTTAATAAAAACAAACGCACAAGAAGGCTTTACCTGCCCCCACACAGTTATGCACAATGACCAGAAAAGCTCCCCAAAACTGCAGTGTAGAACACAAAGGTTTACACATAAGGTAGATGACAAGCAAAGCTGTGATAGGAGACAAAGTCATATCTAGAGATGAAAACTAAATGACGGAAATGTGAATGTCTTACCAAATGGAAAACAATTATGTAGAATCTTTGAAAAGGAAATGACGGTTTAGTGACATCTAGTGATGTTAATGCTTGTCTAGATATTTCCATCAAAATAGCACATGAAATATTTGCTTGGGAATATCCATTTTGGACTCTAAAGGAAAATATTGTTTGTGCATATGTGCAGATTTTTGCTGGGAAAATCCAAATTATGTATATAATTTTGGGGTTCAACAATTTAAAAGTCACTTGAAATTAAAAGTGAACTATAAGCAAATTTGGTTCATCCTGGAATAATGGAATTGTATAAAAATCAGCAAAGCAAAATGTAGGCAAATAAAAAGATGAAAAATGTAACTGGAGTATGATTTTACCATGAAAATAAATCCCAAGGGGGACCTTCTACTCTTCAAGTTGTTGAAATGTGATTAGTTTAGATGTTCAAATATTCTATAAAGGCGAATACACATGTCCTCTATTGTCTAGATGTAAGCACTGAAGCTCTGAAATGACTATGGCACATTTTTATGTTAGCTGAAGAATCATGAAATGAATGTGTTTTTATTCTCTATATGCAGAGCCCCAAGGAGTTGAGCTTATAATGAGAACGCTGAAAAAGTTAAGTGATATGACTTTTCTTTAATACTGAGCTTTTGTTGGAGTAATAAAAACAACACAGGATCCTTTAATCAAATAAAAAAAAAATTAGAGCTAATTTTCTGCACTTTCACTTGCACAGGAATATTAATTAAAAAAAAAAAAAGCCCCACTGTAAAATATTTGAGGCCATACAATTAAGTATTACTTTAAGGCAGGGGCCCAGTGTTAGAATTCTTATATTTCCCCTGAAGTCCCTCCCATTTTTGCACTCAGCTTTTCTGTTCTTTATCTATCTCATTTATAATCTTTCCGTCTTGTCGCTTTTAGGTTTTAAGTTTGATATGTTATGGTTTCTTTGTCAATGAGGTTCAGTACCATCCCAAAACTTTGACGGCAATTTTTTATTTTTTCATTCTTTTTTTTGCTAATCGAAGGGGAAAACCACAGTTCTTTAATATAAGACCATGACTTCTCTGTTCCAAGAGCAAGCTCATTACTTTACTGTTAAAGAACAAACATAGTGTAACCACACAAGAAAATTTGAACAGCTCTTTTCTAGTTCTTAAGCTGATGCTTTATTTGGCAGGGGAGAGGAGGATATTGTTGGCTTTTATTTGTCTTTCATTTCATACTGTGCAAAGCTGCCCTCAAGCACCACTGGGGATGACACCCTTTTGGGCATGACACCCTTTGCTGTGATATACAACATGAACTGTTGATGTCCTGCCCAAAGAATGTCTTGGGAAGAGCAAGATGTCAGTGTGGTTACTGAATGCCTGCTTCCCAATGTTATGACAAGGAAAAATTTGTATTAGCACAAAACCCAGAGTATCTATTGCAGAATTCAGAAGGGTTCGTGTATGCTGCAATAAAATAGGCTTCCAAACTGCCTAGAAAGGTAAATGCAGATTTGGCTTTGAGCAGAGGCCGATGTATGATCTGTGAAGCTGGAAGCAGCAACATGATAAAATGATGTATTTTGTGTGTACAGGCCCACTGTGCAGAAATGATAATAAGGTGAGAATGACAGCTGGATATTTTCTGGTCTGCAGTTTTTCTTTCAAAGAAAACTAACCTGCTGAAAATGGAAATATCCTGGGAAATGTTGCGCACTGTAGACACGTGTTTGGCTTTTTCACAAAGTGGGTTTGAGACTTTGGCTGCTGATCTAGACATCAGGATCCCAGAGTTTTCATCAACTGGCCCTACAGATACTTGCTGCTTCCTGACTACCAAGATCTCCATTCTTCCAAGACAGTGCAATTCAGTATATGAAAGCTCAGAGTCCCTGGGAACTCGCTGCCCAAATATCCACCAGACAACATAGCTGTCTTCAAAACCGTGAGCTCAGCCCTTGAAATGTTTTGCTTTTAAGAAATTATAGATCCTAGGTTCCCATTTCAAGCAGAAATCAACTTTCAAAATTTTATTTTGATTTGTGATGCTTAAAACATAATAAATGTTAAAAATGACTGGAAAAGAATGATGGAAAAACAACATGAAAGAAAAAAGAGAACATTCAGTGGAGATGGACAAACTGGAAATACTTATTGTTCTTATTAAAATTCATGAGCTGGAGGTTAAATGCAAGAAAATGTGTCAGTGTAGCATGTCAGTGGGACCCTTTTAGAATATTCGTATTTTCAGGTAAAACACGCATCTTAATATCTGTGTTTTCTTTGGTCTTTTCCATTTGCATCATCATCTGTTGTAACATATCTCCATAGCACTTATTAGCACAACACCAAGAGCAGAAATACTCAAAAAAACCCCCAAAAATATTGACATCCTAGACTGCATCTCAAGATTATCAGCATTTTTGAACAAAACCCCGGGTGAAATTCTGCCTTGATTTATATCCCTGACTATTATTTTTAAGGAGACTATTACTGCGTACTATTTTCTTTTCTCAGGTGCTATACACGTCTATTAACTTAAGTATATTATTCTAGTGTTGGAACCAGCAGATCTCATTCATTACTTTCAAGTTGACTACAATTTCTTTCAGTTCTTTCCTGTGATTTCTTTAACCTTTTTTTAATTTGGGGGGTTTTTGGCCATTATGCAAACTTTCATTTCACACAGCTATTCTGCGAAAGGAGTTCCCTAGACCGTGATTAGAATTTCTCTGCATAACTGCCCTTTTACGCAGAAGTCTGCCAAGAAATCTCATTTTCATTCTGTGCAATACTCATTCTTTTGCCCTCTTTTGTAGCCACCAATCTGGCATGTACTTTGTGGCTTGCTTAATCATCATCTAGTTCAATGATTAACTTGACATTGCAGATTATTTAGCTTATTCCTGTTGTGGTAATTTTGCAATTTATTGTTGTATTCATCCTGACCACTAACACTTAAATGAATATTGCTGTTCACAATCATTGCTTGTCAGCTGAAGTATTTCAATTCTTGTGTGATCTTTATACACGAGCAGAGGTATTTGAATGCTTGTATAATCCTTATATAATGAAATTTTACTGTGTTCTTTTTGTTTTTTTCTCATCATAACATCTAATTCTTCTTCTGCCAATCAATTTTTAAAGCATTTTTCTTCTCATGTAGATTACTTAGATTCTAAATATTTTTTCAGTTATTTGCTTATAATCTTAGACTCACACAAAATTCTGATGGAAAGAAACCTCTGGAAGCATCTAGTTCAACTTCCTGCTCACATCAGCTATAAGGGCAGACCAGGCTTCTCTGAGCTTTTCTGTGAAAACAAAGGATGGACACAGCACACTCTCCTCATAACCAGGCAACCTGTTTCAGCTGATGAAAGCTTTTCCTTCCTGTCTAGTCTAGACTTTTTCATTTTATGCCTATTGTCTCTCATTCCAACACCACCACATTGTTATGA